CTCCACATTCCATATGGAGCCCAATGCAGGGCTTGATCTCACAACCATGAGATCAGGACCTGAGTCAAAGTCAGATGCTCAATCTCTCTTTCTGCACCCCCCTGCCCTACCTGCCCATGCTCTCTCTCTCTCAAAATAAATCAATAAACTTAAAAAAAAGTTCAATGTCCTTCTCTCAAAAGTTGATACAACAAATGGAAAACAATTAGAAAGGACTTAGAATATATAATGACCTAACAGATATTTATAGAACATTCTACATAATGGCAGCAGCGTACACATATTTTTCTTTTATTTTTTTTAAAGTTTTATTTCTTTATTTTGAGAGACACAGCATGAATAGGGGAGGGGCAGAGAGAGGGAAAGAAAGTACGGAGCCCAATGCAGGGCTTGAACTCACAAACCGTGAGACCATGACCCGAGCCGAAATCAAGAGTCAGATGCTTAACCGACTGAGCCACCCAGGCATCCATAGTACACATATTTTTCAAGTGAACACAAAATATTTATCAAGATAGACAATGTTCTGGGGCAGAAAAACTAGCTTTGGTAAGTTTAAAAGCATTCAAGTCATACAACTTAGGTCCTCTGACCATTATGAAATTAACTTTGAGATGAATGAAAGAAAAACCAGCAAACACTTGCAAATGATGTACTACACTTCCAAATAAAACCTAGGGCAAAGAAGAAATCAAAAGTAAAATTAGAAAGTATTTCAAACTGAAAGGAAATAAAAACACAACAAAAAGTTTTAGATGCTTTAAGAGGAAAATGTATAGTACTAAAGAAACTATATTAAAAGTCAAAATCAGGGGTGCCTGGGTGGCTGAGTTGGTTAAGCATCTGACTTCAGCTCAGGTCGCCATCTCACAGTTTGTAAGGTCAAGCCTGGCATAGGGCTTTGTGCTGACAGCTCAGAGTTTGGAACCTGCTTCAGCTTCTGTGTCTCCCTCTCTCTCTGCCCCTGCCCACTTCATGCTCTGTCACCCCCTCTCAAAAATAAATAAACATGAAAAACATTTTTAAAAAAGACAAGGCACATATTGGGAGAAATATTTGCGAATCATCTATGTGATAAAGGACATTTCCACAATATCTAAATAATTCTCAAACTCATTCATAAGAAAATTCAGCAAAACAACTTGAAAAAAAATTTCACCAAAGATGATAGACGGGTGAAAGTGAGCACTTAAAAAGACTTATTATTATTAGTTATTATGAAAATTCAAATTAAAACTACAGTGAGATATCACGACCTACCTATTACAACGGCTAAAACATAAACAAACTGAGATCGTTGATTGCACATGTCAGCTTCGCTGGCCCATCATGCCCACATACAATGTCAAACATTATTCTGGATATTTCTGTGAGAGTGTTTGGGGTGAGATTACCACCTAAACCAGCGTACTTTGAGTAAAGCAAATCACCTTCCATAAGGTAGACGGGCCCCGCCCAATCAGTTGAAGGTCTGGACGGAACAAAAGACCCACTTCCCCTGAATGAGAGGGAATTCTGCCACAGGAAGCTTTGGGATGTCAACTGTAACAGAAGCTCTTCATCGTTCTCCGGCTTGAGGGTCCAACCTGTGGATTTTGGACTCACCGTCATCTGTAAGCACACTGCGCCAATTCTTTACAATCCATCTCTTTTTACATATATATGCACATCCTACTCATTCTGTTTCTCTGGAGAATGCTAACACACTAACCAAACCATGTGCTGGCAAGGATGGTGAGCAGCTGAGACTCCCATGCACTGTTTACAGAATCGAAACAGGGTGCCAGCCACACGGAAAACAGTTTGTCAGTTTCCTCAAAAGCGAAATCTGCATCTTTTGCATATGACGCAGCCTTTCTACTCCCGCTAGCTATCCAAGAGTAAAGCGAGCGCACCTTCGTTCAAGGGATCCTAGGCAAACGTTCACAGCCGCAACACGTGTAATTAATTGCCCAATACTCGAAACAACCCAGTGTCCATCAACAGGTGAATGAATAAAGAAATTGCAGTGTTTCCATACAATGGATTGTTCCATGGCAGTCAAAGAAATGAGTATTGGGGCAGTTGGGTGGCTCAGCTGGGTAAGCGTCTGAGTCTTGATTTTGGCTCAGGTCACAGTTCGTGGGATTGAACCCCGCGTTGGGCTTCCGCTGATAGTGCGGAGCCTGCTTGGGATTCTCTCTTTCTTTCTCTCTCTGTCCCTCCCCCATTGGTGCTCTTTCTCTCTCAAAATAAATAAACATAAAAAAAAAAAGGAATGAGCTATCCATCTAGGATTTGGTGTGGATGAACGTCAATAATGGCGAGGGAAAGAAGACAGACAAAAAATACTGTATGATCGATTCTAAGCGATACTCTATAAATTTCAAACTTATTGTGCTTGTGATGGAAAGGCAGGGGGAGAGGCAGAGGCGCAGCACAGAGAGGAGGGAGTGATTAGAAAGGGACTTGGAGAAAAGCTAGGGCAGAGTTTGGGAACCACGGTGAGGCTGCCTGGCAAGGGTGCATGTTCCCCCACCCCCGAAGGCCACACCCCCCGCCCACCCCTGCTGCCCTTGACTCCCCACCTCCCACCTCTGCAGGAGACCATTCCTGGTGAGGCTTTCTCAGCTGGGGAGCTGGTCAGCAGGGATCACCCCTTCCTGTGCGTTTCTCAAACCTCTTTTCGTACTAATATTTAAACCAAACTTACCCCGCTCTGTATTAGTCCCTTCCCCAGCTCGCTCTTCAACCAGATTACAAAATGCCTCGGCGAAGGGACCCCATGCAGCCCAATGCTTGCTGAAGAGAAGGCGTTCAGGACGTCTTGATAGAATGAATGGATAGAAGAACACGGGATTTGTTTTCCTGTTTCTCTCAGTAAACCTTCTCTACAAATTCTCTCCAGTAGCAGAGAATTATTTGGGGCGCAGATATAGACACCCAAACCAGCACACCTTCCGCGTGATCCTCCTGGAGACGCCTTGTGGATGCCCTTCTAAGATCACCTGATCTTGACCTTGGCCAGCCCCCTTCCTTCTGCAGCCCCCTCCCTCCCTTCAGTGGGTCGAGTAAGTGCCTCTCTTCCTGTTCTTTTGCAGAGCTCAGCTTCTCTTTTTACCAGTACAGACCTTTATCTCCCAGCACCACTGAGAGCGCCAGGGTTACGACTGCTTATATGGGTGTCGACAGTATTCAGCGGGGGTTGGGGAATGAGCCCCCGGGGGAAGATTTGGTCTTCGGGCTCTCTCAGGTTGCTTCCGGAGACTGCTTGCTCTCAGCTGGGGAGAATCAGAACAAAGGGGATCCCACCGAGGGGAACAGAGCTTCCCCTGAACTCTAGGGGGCAGTAGCATCTGTGCCCAGTCTGTGTTTGTTGACTGACTACAAGACAGAAAAATAGGCAGAAGGTGGAGAGCGGCCACTGTTTGGTTTCGACAGTTCTTAAGGATTTATCATGTTTCATTGATTCATGATAGGTATCAAGATTATGATTATGTGACACACTGTGTATTATTATCATTACTATTAGATTATCAGTTAGTGAGGGTGAACAAGAGTTGACCAAGTCATGTTCCCTGGGGCTGATTAGTACAAAGTCTCTCTCCTAATAAGATTTTTATAAGGTTTCGTTAAAAAAAAGAGGGGGGCACCTGGGTGGTGCAGTCTTTTCAGTCAGGTCATGACCTCATAGTTTATGGGTTCAAGCCCCGTGTCAGGAGGGCTCTGTGCTAACAGCTCAGAGCCTGGAGCCTGCTTTGGATTCTGTGTCTCCCTCTCTCTCTGCCCCTCCCCTGCTCATGCTCTCTCTAAAAAGAAATAAACATTAAAATAAAATTAAAATGCTGGATAACAGCGGAAGAAAATTTGCCAAAAAAATGAACAAATAAATAAAAAGAAAAAAACCTAATCACTTCCCTCTAAGAGTAATAGGGGAAACACCAAGACAATATTCGAAGCAGATCTTACTTAATAGGCGATTCTATTTCCATTTGAATTACCCACTTGGTGGTCTTTCAAGTTGGTAATATATGCGGCAGTCAGCTCAAGTGACATTTGCAATACGGCAACATTTAGGTAATAAATGTGACCTGAGGCGTGTGCTCAGAATAACGATATAAAACCATCAGGCCACTTTATTAATTTCCGTCAGGTGTCAACTCCTTAATTTTCAACATTCAGCAAACAAAAATGTCTGCCGGTGGTGGTCTTTCAGTGCAATTACTTTCTAGCGGAGGCAAAGGCATCAGCAGCTTTATCAAAGAATGAGGAATGTTTCTTGTCTTTTTTTATTTGGAATTCACAGATGTAATAAGAGCTTTCAAACGAAATACGTGAAACACCAGTAAAATTGTCGACACGAAACCCAGAGGATAAGGTTCTGGGTAGAATTAGCATTTTCTGATGCTTGTAAGGAGAGAGAGAAGCCTCATTTTGGTAGCGTGTACAATGCTGGACACTGTGCCCTGGGAATTCAAATACATGCTCTCATTTTTTTCTAGTCCTTCTAGACCAGTTACGGACTTTGCATAGGTCTTTGTGCATTGCTTTGGACACACGGCTTTGTGTGTCCTTTGTATAGGACTTTGGCACATGGCTCCTAAAATCCTTATAGTATCTGCTACAAGAGCGTGCCTTTGATTGTAATATTCCGTTTTGTTCTAAGAAACACAATCCTACTGAGTGCGCTGGAAGGCCCTAATTGACGTTCTAAAGCGATTCTCGAATCAGGCAGCCTCACATCCAGCAAGTCTCCAAGCGCCTTAGGAGATGGACAGTTTCTCTAGGAAGGAGGGTTGGGCAAGCCCATTACCAGCAGAAGAAAGGGCTGTTTCAGGCAAGATCGGTTTCCCTGGGGGAATGGGGGTGGGGGGAGGGCTGGGAGGGAAGTGGGTCTTATTAGGCAGATTACCTCATCTTCCTGGGGTGGGAAGGAGAGGGCCACGTGACGGAATACCTCACTGTTGCAGATCAGAAAATGCCTGACCCACCGGTGGAGGCTGCATTTCCGGGGTGGGGGGCGTGGAAGCTGCAGTTCGGTTGGTTTGGGGACTGGGCCTGGCCCAGGTGACTGCGGTGCGTTTTGTCTTTGGCCAGGATCAGTTCCCGAAAGAGTTGCGGAGCGAACGTGAACGGGCCCCTTTCAGCCACACCTGAGCTCCGGTGAATGCGCAGACTTCCGGGAAGCTCCGACCCATGGGGGCGGCTTGCCGGGGGCGCCATCACGTGGTTAGAAGGTTGGAAGGTTCCAGCCCACCTCCGCCTCCCGGGAGGGCAGAGGGGCCGGCGATGGAGTTCAGTCCGCAGTGGTCAGTGATCTCATCCGCCTTACCTGTGTCAGGAGCCTTCCAAAAATCCAAAAACGATGGGTATCAGGAAGCTGGGTCAGTGGGCGTGCAGGGCTGCAGGGAGAGCGGGGCGTGGTGGGGGGGCGGGGGAGGGGGCAACAGAAGCCCCCAGTCCCTTCCCCAGACCTCGCCCTGGGCCGCCCTTGCGTCCGACTGCTTCTGTTAGATCCTTGCAGAACAAACCAGTGATCTAGCAAGTCAAGTGCTTTCCAGGGTTTTGTGAGCCGCTCTAACAAATTAATTGAACCCCAGGAAGGGTCGTGGGGACCCTCTGGTCTATACAGGTGGTTGGGCAGGAGCACAGGGGAGAGCTTGGGACCCCTGGCTGGCGTCTGGAGTTGGGGAGGGGCAGTCGTGTGAGGCCTGCGCCCCAGCTCCAGGGGGGCAGTGTCCGTCCGAATTGGGTTAAATTGTGGGACGCTCGGCTGCTGTCACAAAATCCCCAGGAGTTGACTTGAGAGTGGAAATCGGATCGTCAAGGAATCTTAGAATGATGGTCGCCCAACCCAGGCCAGGTCACTCCTTGGGGAGTCAGAAACTGCACCGGGCTGAATTGTCCCACAAAGAAAATGTTATTTGCGGCAAATAAGGAGATCCCGGGGGGGGCAGCTTCCCAAGCCCCATCTCCGCCAGCGCCGGTGGATGGCTTCCTTTTGGTTAGGGTTAGGATGAATATGTAAATAGGGCAGCCTTAGGCGGAAGGGCACCTTCTGGGGAAGGCCCTGTGTCCCTTCCCCAGAGGGCACATGCCCCACGTCTACTGTGTTATGTAAATGGCGCTTGTGTTCCTCCTGGGGCGGAGATTTTAGTATTACCAAGTGGGAAAGGTGGTCGTCAGCCATTCTCAGAGTCACTCCCTGGCACGTGTGCCTGTACAGGTGCGGGTCCCTCCTTGCACTCAAGCTGCTCTGGGTGGCCTGGGCCGCCCTGGAGGTCTCGTCAGGGCCAGTCTTCTGGCCACGGGCGGTCTCGCTTTCCATTTGCCCGAGTTAAGACCTAAACTTCACTTAGGAAAATTAAGGAAGAATGTGGGGCAAAGGTCAGGGAGTGCAAGCAGGTGGGCAGTCAAGGTCAACTGTGGGGGGCTAGCCGGTGACAGCATCCACCTACGTGCTGGCGGTAATTGTAGACCCAGATCAAGTCATAGTGGAAAAGGAGACAGAACAGCATTTAAACACCACGCGTTCTGATGCAGCGAATGGATTACAGCTCACAGGGATGGGGTCCGAAAGGGGAGAGAATTGATGGAGAGCAGGACAAGTTTGCTAATGGGTTCCTAGTGGTAAACTGGGATTAAAGGTTTATCGCGTTCAGTTAGACGGTGAGAGGAAAAACAATTAAAAACGATTTATCTAGAAAAAAAAGATTGATCTGTGTCACATCCTAGATGCATATTGTTTTTATAAAGGCAACAGACCCCAACGAGGTCACTTGTGCTAAACCCAACACAGAGACTGAATGCCTAACAATTACAGGGTCAGCCTCTCTCTCCCCCTGGGGGTGGAATCCTAAGGCAGTTGGTCTGGAGTTTCGTGGTCAGCACTGGGGAGGCGATCTGCCTGACAGACCCCAAGTCCCCAGAAGAAGGTGTCCTTGCCACACACCAACTAGTCTTTGCTAGTAGCCTTCTTAACCCACCCCCCTTCTGCCTGTAAGAGTCTTTTGTTTGGTCCAGCTCTGCAGACCTCCTTTCTATCTGCTGGCTGGGATGTTGCCCAGGTCATGAATAGTGGAATAAAGCCCCTAAGATCTGGACAATGTACTGAGTTGAATTTGGCTTTTTAACAGATTCAGTGTTGGCAGTGACAGGATGCAAAGGAGACTTCCGGTAACTTTGGAGACTAGGAGACATGCGGGTGTGGTACCCTGAGCCCTTCGAATGCTCTCGCTCACCGTTTCCAAGGACCATCGGTAAGTTTCTCTCAATTCTGAGCTCCAATCTCTTGCATCAAGCTCCTGATCTGACTTTTCTTTTCTTTTTTAAATTAAAACACATTTTTATTTATTTAAAAAAAATTTTTTTTAATGTTTTATTTATTTCTAGGAGAGAGAGAGACAGCGTGAGCAGGGGAGGGTCAGAGAGAGAGGGAGTTACAGACTCTGAAACAGGCTCCAGGCTCTGAGCTGGCAGTCAGCACAGAGCCCGACGCGGGGCTCGAACCCACGAACCGCGAGATCATGACCTAAGCAAAAGTCGGACTCTTAACCGACTAAGTCACCCAGGCGCCCCTAATTAAAACACATTTTTTAAATGTTTATTTATTTTTGGGAGAGAGACAGAGCATGAGTTGGGGAGGGTCAGAGAAAGAGAGACACAGAATCCGAAGCAGGCTCCAGGCTCCAGGCTCTGAGCTGTCAGCATAGATCCCGACGCAGGGCTTGAACCCAGGAGCCATGAGATCATGACTTGAGTCAAAGTTGGATGCTTAACTGACTGAGCCACCCAGGCGCCCCCTAACTGACTTTTCGGTCCAGGGCTCACAGGGGCAGCTTGAGCTGGTAGGCTGAGTTCCCAGCTCTTGGTTAGTTCAGTCTCCGTCTGTTGGGGTCCACTGGTTCAGTCTGTTGTTCCATGTGGGGAATTCTTAGCGGTGCACACCGAATGACTCTTTGTTTGGCCAGTGTGTAGTACCATATTTTTGGTTACTGCCCGTGTCCACAGCCTCCTTTCTTCAAGTACCCTTGGCTTCTGTGAATGTGCCCATTAACACGTGGATTAACATTAATGTCGGTAAACACTATTGCTAAAGGGATCTCGGGTCAGGCTCTGTGCTGACAGCTCAGAGACTGGAGCCTGCTTCGCATTCTGTGTCTCCCTCTCTCTCTGCCTCTCCCCTGCTCGTGCTCTGTCTCTCTCTCAAAAATAAATAAGCATTAACAAATAGTAAATTTGTTACTATTTATTCCTAGAGCCTTCCTCGCCCACGCGTATTGGTCCTTTATTCTAATTTGCCAACAAAAGAAAGACAAATCTGTGATCAGCTTTAAAGTCCCTCTGGTTATACTCATTCTACAGCATTCTGGGTTCCGTACAATACGTGGTATAACACAATCTGCTCTAGGTGCTCTGTGCGTAGGTGGATAATCTCCTGAGATCAGTGGATGGATAAAAAGACAGAAAATAGGATACGAGGCTACTGGTTCGATCGAACATGTGACCATAGCTGAGCACGCTGAAAGGGACCTTGGAACAAGATGATAAAAACAAAAGTCTGAGGCACCAGGGTGGCTCAGTGAGTTGAGCGTTTGACTCTTGATTTTGGCTCAGGTCATTTCCTCACGGTTCATGGGATCGAGCCCGCATCGGGCTCTGTGGGGACAGTGGGGAGCCTGATTAGGATTCTCTCTCTCTCTCTCTCTCTCTCTCTCTCTCTCTCTGTGCCCCTCCCCACTTGTGTGCGCTCTCTCTCAAAGTAAATAAATTAAAAACCAAAAAAATAAAGCCCCGAAAACCCTGAAAGTCTGCCTAGTTATTAGCCTTACAGGTGCAATGGTTTCTAAGGCCAGGAACCTAAAATAATACAAGTACTTCCCACATTGCATCTTCCTAGGTGACTGTCACCAAAACACAGTCATGCCTCGAGGGGTTCTCTCAAGTGCTCTACCAAGAGTGAAGCACCTCTAATTCCCCAGGAAATCGACCCTCTCCAGTGTACAAATGATCTCTCTCTGTGCTCCCTGACTCCAGAGTCTTTCATAAAATATTCTGTGTATTTGCTGCAACAGTTAGCTGAAGAAGGACAGGAAATCTCTAAGAAAAAATGACAGTTATCTGCAGACACCGTTCATTAGCTGGGTCTAGTCTAAGCCCTGAAGGAATCCAGCTATCTCAGAAAAGAATTAGGCTAATCCAAGAATTCCCTGGGTCCACAGCTAAGCAACAGCCTCATGGATTCCTACGACTGGCTGGAGATGGTGGACTGCGGGTTCCTAATTTTCCTCCAGGAACTTAGTAAAATTTTAGGTCCCAAATCCTTTCCTTGAGAAGACAAACATGAGCAAAACAAATGCTGCAGGAGCCAATCAACTATTCAAAACCTTTCACCTTGTTTGTGCCTGAACGAGATAACCAAGCCCCGGGAGTGCTAGCTCAGTCAGGAATGTGGCAGGAGACGTCTGCCTCTCGAGTGCGCCTGCACATGGCCTGACGCTGTGGCTCACGCCTACCCCAACTGCCTCAAGGTTACAGCCACAGCTGCAGAGTTGTGGAAGCCCCGGCAGATTGGACCCTAGGGCATGACGTTCGTTCCCAAACTTTACACTCGGTCTAAGCCTTAACTCTGAATCCACTCAACATTTCTCACCAGCAGACCAGCCTCCTATGAGATCCTTCTGAGTTCCCCGGGTAATCTTCATCTTGGGTGTGGAGGAGGAGAAAAATGGACAGAATGAAGTTACTCCTGGTTTTTATGAAACATAATGGAGCATTTTCACCAGGGATGGGATACAGGGATGAGGGAGAGGATTCCCTCAGAGTTGGTGATGTGGCAGAAGGTGATGTAGGAAGTTGTATCACCTAGTGTCTATTTTTTTAACAATTTTTTTCTTAAAATTTATTTATCTTGAGGGAGAGAGAGAGAGAGGGTGTGGTGGGAAGGAGCAGAGAGAGAGAGAATCCCAAGCAGGCTCCATACTGTCAGCACAGAGCCCTATGCGGGGCTCCGATTCCCGGACCATGAGATCATGACCTGGGCTGAAATCAAGAGTTGATGCTCAACTGATTGAGCCACCCAGGCGCCCTCCCTAGTGTCTATTCTTAGCCCTGGAATATTGGAGATGCGGGAAAACTCCTTTATCATGGTGACAATAAAAAAACAAACAAACCCTGCAGTAATAGAAAGCACAACATGACCCACAATTGTGTTAATTGTGTTGATCTCATACGAGTGATGGGAAGCTTTGTGGGTCCTCAGTTTGACGCATTTCATTCACTAGGTCTCTGATTCCTTGGCTGGTCACACGTGGGCTGCCTTGGGGAGCCTGTGCCTGTTTGCAGGCCTGTATGAGCTCGGGGTTGCAGGGAGCCAGGAACGTGGCCACGGCCCCTGCAGAATGCCTGTTTTGCCCGTCTCGCTGCTGGTGTGCCTGCGTGTGTTCTCTCCTTGGTAGTGTTACTACCTCAACACCTGCTCCTCTCCCCTCCACCAGCCGTTCTGGGGTCAGAGAGAGGTCTGTTAGTGAATCTTGTTACTCTGCACTTGCAGGATGCTAGCGGCTTAGAGAGCGCCGGAGCATTCAGGGGTCTTCCTGGGAAGCCCCGTGATGTGAAATCTTGCCCTCTCTCTGTTTTTCTCTGGTTTTACTGTGCATTCTGTCTAGCACGACTAGGTGACTCCTCGTTCTTTGGTCATTAACTCAGATTGGTCACCTTTACTGGAGGCTTTCTGGCTCCCCTGGATGGAGTCTGGGGTCTGCGTTCTCAGTGTCTCAAACATGCTCTTACACATATCTTCCTCTCCCCTGCAAAGCTGATGGCCTTGTGAGGAGGAACCTGCTCTGACATTCCTGTTCTCCCCTCTGCAGCCCAGCGCCTGGTGCAGAGCAGCCTTCCGTGGTTGTTGGGTTTAAGGAGAAGGAAGGGCACAGCCCCGTTCATGCCCATTCGTGTCTGATTTTGCTCAAGACTCAAAATCCCTCAAGAGTTCCAAGACAGAGCCATCTGTCTCACGGTCATGCGATTACTAATTGGAAAGGGTTGGTGCCTAATTCATACAGCTGGCACCTTCCAGCTCGTCTTGTTCGGGCCCCTGGAAATTTCACATTGCTAGTGAACCACTGCCGTTTGTAATACATCTGTAATTCATCAATGTTGTCTGATTTCTTAAGCATTTTTTTTCACCTTGGAATTGGCTCATTTAAGGCGCTTATGAGGCAGGAGTAATGCAGCTCGCTGAAACAGACTGAATAAAAGATGAGACGCTACCTTTTTATCTCCACGGTCAGACAGGCTTTTTCATTGCAAGGTAAACTCGGAGAATGCTTTGGATTTCTTGGCCACATGCCTTATTTAGGAAGGGAAATGGACGGATAATTCCTCTAACTTTTGGTAAATGTGAGAGGTGGAGGTGCATGTCATAAAAAGGGGAGGTGAGAAAGAAATGTGCAACCTCCGATTGGTACAGATAGATTAACCCTGGTTTCACTTGGACAAAGTATAAATTCCCACTGAATTCCGACACTCACTGGTGTGAATCTGAAGGCATCTTCTGCACTTAAAATGCTGCTGCTGTGATGATGTCCTGGCATTTTGTTTCCTGTGCCTTTTCCTCATTAGGCATTGGGAGGGACGTTCCGTGTGCCCTTCCAGAACGTCTTTCTATCTGTGCCGTGCCATGGCTTGGCAGTAGCTGGTTTCTGTCTCCAAGGCCGTGTCTCCTGTCCCCTACCACGTCTAGAACCCTCGCTGGCTTGTGCTAACTGATTCTCCTCCGGCCCTTCCGGGCTGAGGAGCTATAAAGCTCCTCCTCAAACCTGCCCTCGCTTTGGTCAGTAACCCCCGAGTTAACTCTAACATACACCCCCCCTCTGAGCGGGCCCTGTGTCCCCTGGGCCCTGGGTGGAAAGCCACAGCTCTAGGACAGCCAGTGTCCAGAGATGACTTCACTTTACAGATAAAAAGAGGGAGGCTCGCAGAGAAGGGGTGATGGGCCCCTTGTGGCCAAGCTTACACAGAACCCATGACTATGGTCTCTCCAGATGCCAGATGGCGTGAGCTTCCTTAGTGCGTGATCACCTCCATTCCCACGTTAGCCCGCTGTTACTGAGTGCTTCCTCTGGGCTCGGGCCAGCGTGGACGTTTGTCACAGCCTCACCATGGCCTTCTGCGCCGTGGTCCATGCTGTAGACGAGAAAACGGGAGGCTAAGTCATTTGTCTCTGTTAACGCGGGCCAGGGGCCGGGGAGGGGCGCGGCCAGCATTCACACTGGGTCTTTCTGGCTCCAGAGTCACCTTCAAACCCGTGCGGTCTAATCCTCAGGCAGAGCGGCATCTCAGAGAGGCCCACGCATCAGATGCTCAGCCCAGAGAGCCCAGGGAGGGCAGCAGGGGGCATCCGCAGGCGGGTGGTGGTCCCTACCCGTCACACCATTCAGTGGCTCCTAGACGAAGACCACGGCAGGAAGGCCACGGAGAACAGGCCATGGGCAAACAGTTGCAGCCGCTGCCGGGAAGTCTCTGGGGGGCCAAGCTCAGATCCACAGTCAGCAATGGGAAACCATCAAGTCCCGGGAAACCATGCAACAAAGAGCCACATCCCTCGCTACATGGGCTTGGAGTCACACACAGGGATGGTCCACGCCTATTAGTACTTGCTCAGTAAAGAAAATCCGGGGGAGATGGAGAAGGAAGCTTGCCTGGGAGCCCGTGATCTTGGGGATCGAGGTCAGGGGAGATGTTTGTGATTTGGTGCAGGGCCGAGGACCCGCCACAGCCCCCTGACACGTCCCCTGGGGGTCCCACAGCGGGTCCTGAGGCTGCTGCCCCCCAGGGACCCCTAGAGCAGCAAGAGCACTGGCCCCGGGGCAGCACGCCTCCCTCGGACCTCGCCCGCGCGTCATCTGGGAGAGTCGCTTTCCTCCCCTGTAAGAGGAGCGTCATGAACGTGCTGCCCGTGCAGGTCTGAGTGCCTCAGCGGTGCCGTCTTACCGTGGGCTTCTCCGGGGCGCTGGCCGGACCCCCTCTCCTGCCCTTGTGCTGTCACCCTCAGCCACAGATGTTCCACCAGAGGGCTCAGGGCCACACCCGCAGGGCCTGAGGGCCAGAGACCCCCACGGGAACCCCCAGCATCCCAGGGGCCCCGGGGGTCACCTTCCCGAGTCGGGCTCCCACCCTGCCCGCCCGCGAGGCTGTCCGTGCGAGCCCTCGTGGGCCAGTCCCTGGTGCCCGGGAAGGCTTGGTTAGGTCGGGCACCTGTCCACCAGGAACTACATTGTTCTTTCTTCTTTTTTAATAGATATATTTTTATTTAAAAAAAACCAACTCTTTTTAGTGTTTATTTTTGAGACAGACAGAGACAGAGGGCAAGAAGGGGAGGGGCAGAGAGAGAGAGGAAGACACAGAATCCGAAGCAGGCTCCAGGCTCCCAGCTGTCAGCACACAGCCCGACGCGGCCCGTAAAGGTCATGCATGGGGAGCCCTTCGGCCTTCAAGTTGGAAGGGGAGCCAGTGCGGGGCCCAGGGACGAGAAGGGACGGGCACTTCTCTCCATGACACCATAGAATGCGCTCCGTTCCTCAGTCTCCTTACACCAGGACACCTCCTTGGCTGTGTCGTCTGCCGGGGGATGATGTGGGCAGGGCCAGGTTTGGGGGTTCACCGCTGCGAGGGGGAGCCCAGCTGGGCCCTCACTGGCCACGTGACTCGGTGAGGCGCCGACGTCCATGAGGATCTCCTGAGCCAGTCTGGTGTTGGGGGGGTCTGTGAACACTGCTTGGCTGAAGCCTCGGGCTTCTGGGAAGTCCCAGGCGCCAGGGCCCACGGAGGTTGGCTGCTGGTTTGCAGAAGAGACAGAGGGTTCCGAGGAGGAACCAGGTGGCCTCGGCCAAGAATGCCGCGTGGGCCCCGGGACATTCGCAACCCACGGCTGTCATCACGCTGGTGACACAAGTGTTCCCTGCACGGCCCCTGAGCTTCCAGCCCCTTGTGCGCCCCTGGGTCCCACGCGAAGCCTGTCGGTGTTACTGTGCACCTTCATCGCAGGGTGGGAGGCGGAGTCCCCGAGGCGGGCTAGTGCTCAAGGACACGCACCATCGGGGACAAGAACTCTGGCCTTCCCTGGTCACTCGTGATCGTCCCCTGCGCCGTGTCCCCGAGCTCCCGGCAGGAGGAGATGTGGGGGCCACCCCGGCACGCGGTGGCCGGAAGTCCTACAGCGCACACAGCTGTTTCTGAGTCCCCCCACCCCCAGCCCTTCTGAGCCCGCCTTGGCCACGTCCTGAGTCTCCCAGATTCCACCTCTGCGCTGGCTGCCCCCGTCCCTCCCACCTGGGCCTGTGTAGCCCTGTGGTTCCTGCAGACCTGCGGCTAATTCAGTTCTCCCTCCCCACCTGCCCCTTCCCTGCAGTGAGGATACAATCCGGGAGCCCCTAGCTAAGCAAGTCCTTCTGGAATTTTCTACCTGGGGTGCTCTGCTTTACTGCCTCAAGGCTGAGCGGGGCAGAGGGAGGGCCACAGGCTGGCAGACCGGATTCAGAAACGCAGGCCCCACGCGGACGTCCCGGGCTCACTGCCTACCCTGGGGTCCCGCCCGGGGGCAAATCCACTCTAGTTCGAACGACACCCGCCAGTGGCGCTGGCATCGGTCCCCAGGCCTGCAGACCCTAGTGAGCATGGCGCAGCTCCCTTCTGTCACAGAAGCCCGTGGATTCACGTGCAGACACCACAGCGTAAGACGTACCTCTCCCTGCAGTGAGGACAGCGGGGTGGTCGGGAAGCTTTTCTGTAGGAGGCGGCTGGGTTCTGAGGGATGAATAGGAGTTCTGGTGCCCAGCTTGGAAGAGTGAACCCGTGTGCTGTGTGTGGAGGGGAAGGTGACGCAGGCCAGTGTCTAGAGGGTGAGGAAAGCAGGTGGCCAGGCAGAGCCGGGGCAAGACTGCACCTCAGCGGGTTTTGAGACGCCGCCAGCCGGTGCTGTGCTTTCCCCTTGGCCACGCCCTTCGCTTTCCCCTGTGGGTCTTTCCATCGGGCCTCCCCCCACCCAGTATTCAGGGAGCGCAGGCTGAGGAGGGTTGAGGGCATCATGCGTGGACACCAGCATTCCTACATTGCCTCAGAGTCCGCACCCGCCTGAGGGCTCAGGATCTGGGACCCCAGCAACCTTTTTAAAGTAGTCTTCACACTCAGCATGGGCCCAACGCAGGGCCCAAACCCACGACCCCGAGACCAAGACCCGAGCTGAGATCAAGAGTTGGACGCCTGACTGACTGAGCCGCCCGGCGCCTGGGGAGTCGAGCAGCGTCTAATGCATTTTCTTCCATCTGCAGAAGGGGGGGCCTCCGGTGGCCAGGGAAGGGCTATGGCCACCTGCCCGCCCTTAGCTAAGCCGGGCCGCACTGGGAACTTGGACGAACCACACAGTGGTGGTGAAACTGGTGCCTCATCACCACTCAGGTTTCCTGAGAACCACCTACAACAGGATGCCAACCTGACTGCATCCTGACGGTCAGCTCTGGACACGTGTACACCTCCGGCCGCACACACGGGGGTGGGGGCCGTGGCCTGGACCCTGGGAATGTCTCGTGGTGGAAATGGCCCCGGGAGGGGTCCCCCGGGCTCCTCCGCCTCAGCGTGCACCCCAGCGGCCCTGCCGGGGGCTTGCGGCTTCTCCGCACTTCCCGTGTTGCTCCCTCCCCAGATGCCCTCACCCCTCCTCCTCCCTGCCCTCCACGCCTCCACCCCAGGAGTATGGCGGCTAACTGGGCCAGCTTCCTGAACTCCACTGGGCCACGTTTTGTACGCGATGGTGTCGCTGTGGGCGGACCGGTTGGGCTTCTGGTCATGACCTCTGTGGAGGACGGAGCCAGTGTGGGACCCGCCCCGGGAGACTCGGGTCATGCCTTTCTCTCTGGCCGTCCTGTCCCCGCTGTGGGAAAGAGGCGGTCACTGGAGCCACGGACAGTTCCACACAGAGGGAGGAGGGCGTGGGAGTTTTCTTTCTCTGCTTTTTCCTTTGCCTTCTTGTTTTGTTCATTTTTATTTTAAGAGAGAGAGAGCAGAGGAGGGGGCAGACAGAGAGAGAGAGCGTGGAGGAGAGGGGCAGACGGAGAGAGAGAATCCCAAGCAGGCTCCACGCTGAGCCGGGTGGACCGTGGCGGGTGTGTTCCCGGCACAGGAGGAATAGGGGAGGGCCGGGTGCTGGCCGGGTGCGTCCGGCAAGCCGGTGCCGGCTTCCTGGTGCTGCAGGACACAGGTGGGAGGGACGCAGGCCCCGGGGAGTCCTCTAGACTGAGTTCTGATTATATTCTGGAGGGACAGGGCAGCCCAGCATGAGAAGAACGTAATCGAGTTGTTTCATTAGCCGCTCAGCTTTTTCAGATCCCAGTTCCCTCAGCCGGAAACTGGTGCCTCACCACCACTCAGGTTTCCTGAGAACCACCTAGAACAGCTGTGAAAACCCGGGGGAAAGAGTAAAGCACGACCCACGTGGCTCTATTGTTCCTCACTCCACAGCTCAAAGCCCAAGGCTTTAGCACAGCTCCAGATGCCGGACGCAACACAATTTTGACAGAGGATAAATTTAGTACAAAGCTGATCCCTTCCCTGTGGAGAAGGAACCAGGGCTAGGGTGCACTTAACTGGACAGCCTTTCTCATTTTGAGGTCCCCTTCTGGTCCCCTCTCATGTCTGCCCCTCTCCTGGTCTGGCTGGGGTGCGAGGCCGCTGTGGGAAATGGGGGTGCCCAATTGTGTGCAAAGACCAGGGCTCAGAGATTGGGAAATGGCGTATTTTTGCATGACCACCCATGCTTCATACTAGCCTTGTTCCTCCAACACGCCGAGCAAATTCTGCCACAGGGCCTTTGCACCTGCTCTTTCCCCCACAAGTTACACATCCACCTGTGGCCTGCTCTCTCATTTCCTTGAGGGTTCTACTCAAACACCACTGTATCCTTGAGGACTCTCTTCAAGGATCTCTTCCTATTGTAAAATAGGATGATTTTTTTCCTGATTTTCTCCCATGCACTCCCAACCTTCCAAATACACTTAATATTTTGCTGGCTTCTGTTGCTTATGGTTTGTCTCCTCCTCCATAAAGTCAAATCCATGAGGACCGGGGTTCTCCTCTGTTTTGCTTTCTGCTGCTCAGAGTAGTAGAGAGGCAGTCATATGTGTTGATTGAATAATGAACCTCTCCTTTCTGCTTTGGGCTACGGGCATTCCAAGGAACTGTGTTATAAAGTCACAAAATTCACACAATGGCTACAATGTCATTTTCTTTTATTTGTGGCACTAAAAGACACATAGTGGAGACAGCGTGGCTTAAGAGAGACTGGGTGACGCTCTTGCCCCTCCCCGGGGAAGGTGAGCGACGGACAATGTAAAGTTTCCATTCTACGTGACGCCTGGATCTGCTGAGAGACATTCAGATGATCTCGCCATATCTGTTGTTGGATGAAGACAGATTTTATTTCGCGAACTCCTCTTGATTTCTATTCATGTCTTAAAGAGCTCTTTCGGATGCAACAGACTGCTGTAGAGACAGATGTGAGGGACAAGTGCTGTGTCTGAACATCATGATAAATAATTGAAATTCTGCGTCCTCCGAGAAGCCTTCCGTGCAATACAGGGGTGCCGCTGATCTGTTGGGTGAAAGCACCCAGACTGAACGCAAACCGTGAAATACCAGCACAATTTTGATCCAATCTTGGCGACACGCAGACACCCAACGTCCCCTCTCTGGGCCCCTTGCAGGGTTTTGGAAGGCTCCCCGGAAGTCACCGGGCTCCATACACAGCCCTCCGGGGGAGGCTCGTTCTACTTCACAGCCCGCTGGGGACACCTGCAAGGTGGGGCGCCGATGCCATCCCGACCTCGGTCACCGCCACCCTCGGAGAATCAGAGCTGCCCTTCTGCACATCAAGTAGGATTTTATTCTGGGTGATAACAGTGGATTCTTAAAAGCGTAGTTAGTCAGATCATGGTCTGCTACCCTCCGTGAGGTTATAACCCCCAAGTTTCGAGGGACAAAAATCCAATGGTTTTGTGGCTCGACGGTCATCTTTGAAAAAAGCCTTGTGGCTCTTTTCTTACTACCAAAACACCACAGAGCGTAGGACGTTCAGCTTGCTTCTATCGGTTTCTCCGGATCTCCCTAGAATCTGAAAGATTTCAAACAGCGAAATGGTCGTAACCGTCCACGTATGTGGGAAATTCTCAAAGTTCCAGAATCGGTCTAAGGTCACCTCAATGAAGCGGGGTGCTGGGCTCCCGTGTTGGGATCCCCATTAGCCTGCCAACAAGAATAGTTTATTGGCAACTTGAAATATTCAGAGGCAAACACGTTTCCTTGGCACATAAGCCGTGCAGCAGGGCGGAAGCTTTGCACTCCCTCGGAACCACGTTGCAGGACTGAAAACCAGCTGTGTGCGTTTGGCCCGTAGACTAGAGTCCACCAAACCCTGACGCCCCTTGCCCCGCGGCGTCCCTGAGCGGGGACCGTGGACGGCTCGCAGGTGGGTTTCTGCCGCGATCTGATCTTATTGAGGATTTACACGAGCAAGGGCACCTGTAGAGGAGAGAGAGCCGCGGTTACTCCGGGGAAGCAAGCAGGTGGCCCAACGGGGTGGTCAAGGGTGCGGAGACCCCGGGGGCTGAGGTGCTAAGTGCAGGGACATCTTTGCCATCACTCTTCCAGCACGAGTTTCTACATCGATACGCATTCTGCTCACATGCCTCAAAAGGGGAACGTTTTCCAAAACACGAACACGCTTAATGCCTTCCGGCGACTTGCTATGACGGGTCTCTTTCAGGAAAGGAAGCACGAACCCGCGGAAGGTCTGCCATACCTCTGCAGGTCGCTGCCACCGTGCTAGACACGTCAGCTGCCCCCAGGCCCCAGCCCTCAGCCCTCCCCGAACCCCTCCCTCGACTCTCCCAATCTGCTGGGCTCTTCTCTCCTCTGGCCAGGCTTGGCACGTGGGGTGTCTCGGCGTTCCACCTGGAAGGCTACGACTCCTTCCGGGAGAAGTGTACGTTCCATTTCCGGGAGAGGTGCTCCTGACCCCAGTCCTAGCCTGGGCCCATCCAGTCACGCCTGGTGCATTCGGTTACCCCGCTCTGCAATGGTGTCCCAGCCTCCCCGCTCCCTCCCCGCTGGAGAGGCGCTCCTTGAGGAGACACCGTGGGGCTCCCCCTCCCCACTCTGGGCACAGAACTTACCAAGTGCTGCATACTCGGGGCACGAATGAGCGAACGCACACAGAAGTCCCTATTCTACTAGATGCACAGCTCCCCCAGGACCAGCGGGGGGCGGTCAGGCCTGATAGCTGTGCTCTGGGTCCCTCCACAAGGACACCGGACCGGCCGGTGACCCAGTTCGATACTGGGAAGCATGGGGGGAGGGGCTGCCTCAGGTGCCACGTGCACAGCCACCTTCATCAGAACCCCGCTGTCTCCTTCATATGACCGTGACTTAGCCACGTGCCCAGCTCGCGGAGTTCCCCTGCAGCCCGGGTGATATGTGTGCGCAAGTTCATCGGTACGTAAATTCCACCTGCTGCCTCCCTCTGACGTTCAGGCCAGGACGTTGTCTCCTCCCAGCACCTGGAGGGGGAGGGGGCTGCACATCTGGGGATACCTGGCTAGGGGACTTCTGGGGTCCCTACTGAGGGCCACATGCACACGGCTACGAATGCCGCACCACCGTCACACAGGCGAGCTCTGGGGGCTGACCCGAGCTCAGGGACAGTGTCCGTGGGGGAGCTACCGGTCAGCGGCTGGCCGGGCCGCACTCCCATCGGCTCTCTGGGCTTGAGCGAGGATCGCCCCTTGTGGCCGCACTGCCCGCAGGGAGGTGCGCCATCCCCCCTCCTCTGCGGCCACAGGCTCTCGGGTAGACACAGGACGGCCATCTGCCTCCTGTTGCGCCAGCAACTCGGCCGTGTCTCCAGGGGCCACCGTGTCCCCAGCACGCGAGTAGGGTGGGTACCTGCTTCCGATTTCTTTCTGTGCCCAAATTGACCCCTGTCCAAGCCCAGGCCTGTGTCACCAAGGCCGAACCACTCCAGTTTCCTGAGCCTCATTCACTCTCCACAGACCGTGAGGATCAGCTTAGTACCGCGCTCCTCGGGCCACACGGCACCAGCAGCTTGGGGTCGGGAACACACCTCTCAGGCAGCAATACGGACCGTGGCCTCCTGCTGGTCAGCGTCCCTCCCCGAGCCCACCGGAAACGAGCAGGGACAGAGGATCAACCTGCTTACAGAGTGCCCCGGAGCAGACACAGGTCTCCAAAGACACCCGGCCCAGGAGCTGGGAGTCCCATGGTGCTGGCACAAAACGCCTCTGCTTTTGTGAGGAACGTGAGCGTGCCAGTGTCAGCCCACGGGGAGGCCACCCAGAAGCAGAAGCTGTGGAGAAGCAGAAAGCCGGTGTTCTGCCCGAGAGGCTTCCAACTCAGTTCAGGCACAATGCCAGCCCAGACACACAGATAGAAAAAGGGATGGAGGGGGGAAGAAGGAAGGAAGGAAGGGAGGAAGGAAGG